TTGTAATGTATTTTTTAATTTTTTTAATAAAGATCGGAATTTTTTTTTGTCATTAATAATTATTTTTATATTTTCCTATTTTTATAAAAATATCAAAAATACCCTTGAGTTCAAGTAGATTTCTTTAAACATATTTTTATTTTTGAAATTTTTTATATTTTTTAATGCCGTTTGCCCAATTCAACGTTTATCGGGGTTTTTGAGGGCGGTTTGATTTTTTATTTTAAACACCAGTATTAGGTGTTTCTCACACGCTCACGCTTCACGACCTTTTTATAAAATTATCTTGCCTTGGCTCTCTAAAACCCTAAGAGTGTCGGACCTCTCTATCTCTCTCTCCCTTCCCCACATGTATTAAAAGTATGTTGCCTTCCCTCTTCCACCCCTCCCTCTCTCTTAGGACCACTTGCCCAACATTCCGTGCCCCATGACCCCCAAACACTAGGACAAACCCATTCAATTGACCCACGCGCCCCCGCGGGTCCCTGCCGCCCTTCTTCAGCTCTCCCGGGCCCAGCCCACCGCGCCACTCCGACCACCCCCTCTCTCTCTCTCTCTCTCACATATTTAATCAACCCAACCCAACCCATAACTCCAAGAAGCGTAAGAAGAGACTTATTTGTCTTGAGCTGCCTTCCTCCTTGTCTAATTGTCGGGCCATCTCACCACACAAACCCTAAAACCACCCGTCTCCATTTTTTCTTTTTGCTTTTCAGGTAACTCTGAGATGTGTGGGGCTTTGTGGGGTTTCTTTCATGCCCCTTCTTTCTTTGTTTCTTCTCTCTTTTATTGGGGGGGAGAAGCAAGTTTGTTGGGTTTGTTATGGATGAGAGGGACTGCTGAATAACGGATTGAGAGAGAAAGGGAGGGGTTTAAGTGTTTACCTTTCTTTGCTCTTTAGGCTTCGAGTTGGCAGTAGATTTATGGACTTGGGTTCAAAGTACCTTTGAAACTTGACCAAAGTGTCCTCTTTTTACTCTCTCTCTCTCTCTACTTTCCCATATGTAGACAGAGAGAGGGGCGTGGTGTTGTCTCCTTATTCTTGAATTTGCGAGATGGGGTAGGAAATCGTTAAATATTCATGATACAAGGAGGCTTCGGTAATATGATACCTCACAAATAATAGTAATTTATGTACGGACACAAAAAGATAATACGATTTTTAGTGAAAATCACATAGAAGGTTGGTTTTTTATTTATTTTTGAAATTGAGGATGCCATCTTCATATCGTTTTTTAATATTATTTTTTTTTAGATTTTTCGTTAGAAGGGTAATGCCCTAGTGTGAGGGCCAATGCCAAGTCTAGAAGGCGATCCAATCTGAAGTTGGTATCTTCCAACCATCTTATTTCTTAACAAACAAATGAGCTAATGTGATTCGAGGAAGCCAACCTCGAACCGCGCTGAAGAGCAGTAAAGAAGGGGGGCTGCAGTGGGCAGCTCAAACCACCTTTGAATGATTAACAAAGTCAATCTTTGCAGTCCGAAGATGCCAACCTCGCACCGCTTTGAAGAGCACTACAGAAGGTGGTCCACCGATGCTAGCGTGGGACCAATTGGGTATTACCCTAAACATTAGCGCACAACCCTACTATAAAAAAAACTAAATAAAATTAAAATACAATCCGAGGATGCTCAACCGATGGGCAATTTTGAAAAAATAAAAAACTTCAAGTCGACGGACATTCCGCATAATTTTAACCCTAAATTGACTCATTTGGTATTTTACTATAATTTTTTTGTCCATACGTAATTCATTCTAAAAATAAAAGAAAATCAAGTCAAGAAAAATCAAACGGCGCAGTTTACTCAATGGGGAAGCTTAGGTAAAATGTTGGGTTTTGTTTTGGGTGTGAACCAAGGCATCTACACTACAAGACTCTCTCTCTCTCTGTAAGTGGCATTTTCTGTGTCTTTCTTTCAACTTTTCCAACTCCCCATCATTTTCCCTCCTTCCTCTTATCATGTTACATGTTTCTTTCTCAATTCTAATCTCTTGATAACAACATTTCTTTCCCTTTCTTTAGGCCCTTATCACTATTTCCTCCCTCCCCGTATCATGTCACCTCTTTTGTTTTTTTCCTAGTTCTTCATTCATTCTCTCTCTTCAATAATGGCAAAATTTGGCACATGAGCCCGAGGTTTGGACGTGGCAACAAGTCTCCATTCAGGTGGAAGGGCACGGCCTGGGTGGGCCCGGCCTGGTTAGGTCCATCCCTTGTCCGTATAAGTCCTAGCCGGGCTCTAACCGGGATGAGAAAAACAAATCAAGAAAAATAAATGCAAAAATTAAAAAAAGGAGAGTTAGGATGGGCTGAACAATGCTAGAGCTAGCCCTAGCTCGCCGTCTGGCCCCAATTTGTGTGGCCCAAGCTTATTTTTTTAGGGTTTGGCCGACAGGGGCCAATCCATTGTCAAGCCTATCTACACTTATCTCATCTGTTTAGGAACTCCAAACCTACTAGTCATCCTTACTCATTTATTAAAGGCTCTTATTTCAAATTTCTCAATAAAAGACGGATGTGTCTTCATTTTTTTTCAAACAGTCTAAAAATTAATTTTTTTTAAAAAAATATTATTAAAATGATGTTAGTGAGAATGAAGTGAAAACCAATAATTAACCTCCAACACCAGCCCTCGAACCCCACCACCCAACCTACAGAGTTTCGTTTTGATGACAACACGAAACGTGTTGGGTTTGGCCGGAATCCGACGCGGCATACTGGCATGGCCAACTCCTCATTCCACGATCATGCAATACATGAATGCTTCATGCATGGCTCCATCAGAGCCAACATGCCGTATGCAGGACTGTCTCCCGCTGCTTGCGGCATGCACTGCCATGATGTACATGACATGCATGGCATCATCCATCACTGACACGTGTCTTGTCTTGAACCAGCGACGTGGTGCCCAAGGTGGCCAGTAATCATGCTATTTTCGGGGCACGAGCGCTGCTCTGCGCTTTCTGAGGAACTTGTTCCAATAACACCAAACTTCCCCTCTCCCTCTCTCTCTCTCTCTCTCATTGCCACGTGTCACGTTATCAACTATTCTCTACGTAAACCCTGAAAAGCCTTAGATGCTGACTTGTCTTTCAAGGTAGATAAAAGCAATATTTCCCTCTTCCCATAACACCCCTAAACTCTCGGAGCTCTACCGCGATACATGAGGGCATTTTAGTAAAAATCTTTTAAGGCGCAAATGGAGATCACTGGATTTGATAGGGGTATATTTAGGAAAGTGGCGTAAATTTAAGGGAAGTGCCGAGTCTTACGGCCGATTTTTTTCTGTAAATTACTGCGAAGGTTTTTTTTTGCGCGCGGATTATTTACCGAGTTTTGTTGTTTGTTTGGGAGCATAATGGTGACGTGGGAACAGTGAGTAGGAAAAATCCATAGACGTCTTTTTCAGAAAAATATGTTTGATGGGACTTGACTCAAATGTCTAAAAGTCTTTGAAGATCCTTTTAATAATCAGAGAATATAATTATAATTTTTTTTTTTTTTTTGAAGGAAGACTCTCTCACACCATGGTAAGATTTCAAAAGATAATCTTAAAATTTGATATACAACTCTTAAAAAAAAATAAATTATCATATGAGTGTGTGACTTAATTTTTCAAAAATCTATATCAAATTTAATATACATATGAGCGTGGAAAAGTATAATAATGCTATTTTTTTTTTTAAAAAAATAAAACATATAAGCTCTCCAGTTTCCAATCATATTAAAATCTACATCAATCACTTGCATATTGTCGGACATTACTAATTTAAAATTAGGGAACTTATTTGTCACCCACCAACGGCACTCGTCGTGCCAACTAATTTGGAGTTTTGGTTCTTTATCACAATCATTAGCACTTATTCCGGGGGTTATTAAGTTTGATCTGCTAAAAGATTTTAAAGTCCCCTGGGTGCATACTGTCCATTTACCCCTCTGATAATATCCTATATGACTAATTTTAAGATTTCAAAGCTTGGGATGTAACCTCTTCAATACATAGGCTAACCTTAGTAAATAAAAAAATAGAAAAAATAAAAAATAAAAATGAATTGAGCTCTCTATATTTGGAATAATCAAACAAATAATATTTCAAAATTTAGCAAAGTTCAATTTTTCTAAGCACGTCAAAATAAAAAAAAATACAGTCCAAAGCATGAACTAGGCACTAAAAGAACTCAAAATTCATTTTTTTTTTTTTAAAATAATTATGTAGTGATTCTTAGGCAGTTCCCAACCAAAAAAATAAAAATCTCCCAAGTCTTGTGACCGAGGGAGTACAAACACAATATGCTGCTGCAGGAGCATAGCTTGCACACTTATTTGATTTTATTTTGGTGCTGTATATGCGGGGGAACAAATCCTTTGAACCTACCTATGTGCCATAGACCTTCCAAAACTCAATCCTTGAGATAAAATTTGATTTCGAGCTTTTACCTTGGAGATCAAATCAAGTTCCGTTTAAAATGTTCTCAAAGATGAATATCGACGATTTCTTGTGTTCTTGGGGTAAAAAATATCCCCTAAGGCCATAGGATCAACTCTACAATTTGGTCCTCCAGCACCATCAAAGTTCTTATCTTTTCATGATTACATTGTCCTAATTAATTGTTTTCATACCATGGAGTACAAATCACAAGAGTGGCAATGGACGGGTTAACCCGGCCCCCTAAAAACCTAAGACCTGGGCACAAAATGTGGCCCTAGGGCCGGGCCTAAAGCACCTAGCCCTTAATTTTTTTTTTATCCTTTTTACCTTTTATTCTTTTAATATCAAGTGGCCTGGGCCTGGGCCTGGGCCTGGGCCTGGGCCTGGGCTGGCCCTAGGAGAAGGGGGCCTGGGCCGGCTCAACGGAAATAGGGCCGGGCTAAGGCTAGGGCTAGGGACAGGGTTACCTGACCTAGGCCAGCCCTAATGAATGAACCACTGTTGACGAATAAGGAATGAGAGGAGAGAAGCACAGTTTTGAGTCCAAGAAAAAACGAGACAGGTGCTCTGAAATGCATCATCATATATAAATATATATAAAAATGGAGAAGAGTATATATATTTTCCTTGAAAGATCATGCGGACTGGGTCTAACAAAGGAGGTTCAGAAGATCTCTGCAAGGCAAAGAATGCATCAATTTCTACTCTCAGATGCTCTGTTCACTACCGTTACTGGGTCTCTCTGTTCATCACCTTCACACCCTTTTATTAACAACCAGCGAAGATTCCACGACCAGCAATTACATCTGGTCATATCAAGAACCTATAGAGAGAGAAAGTAGAGAGAGAGAGAATTAAAGTTGAGAGATGATAATATAGGTCTGAACAAGCCAGTACAGGGTATTGGTATTTGTGCAAGCAGGAGGACTCTGTAGTCAATTAAACAGCAGCAGAGGGATCTCGATAAGATATCGTTTTATTTGGTGGGTCGCTATCTCGTGTTTCTCGCTCTTTCCCTCTAGTTCCCTTCCCCTCATTCAGTGCCCTTGAACAGAACAGGCTTCCCCTTGGATTTTGGATCAGAGTAACCTTTTCTGCAGAGACTTTGCACTGCAAACAATAAAACCAAAGCAAATCAGTAAGCCCCAACATGAAAAAAATGGAAGAGAAAAAGTTTCACAGAGAGAGAGAGAGAGAGAAAGCTCAACAGAGAGAGGACTGAACCTTACTTAGAATGAACCCATTTGGTTGAACCCTCCATGATCAAATCTCTGGCTTTGATGCTCCACACTCCATCCTCTGTTGCCATTATCCTAAAATTCATTTTTTCTTTTCTTAATCCACTTTTTGTTATGTAATCCTCCATGTATTTCAAAGTTTAATATGTGCATTACATTAAAAAAGGAGGAAGAGGAATTGGTGTGTTTTTGTACCTCAGAGAAAGCAGTTGGCCTTTGGTCGTGAAGTAAAATGGAACCAGAATTGTTGAACAGAGAGTAATTGGTCGTTGTGGGGAAGGCAGTTGTGTTTGCAAATGAAGCAGTAATGGCCTCATAATCAATGGTGGGTTGGGTGTGGCAGCTTGCTTGCAATAAAGGTAACGGTGCATTCAGGCTTTGTAACTTCTGCAATTCAGAACCCATCTGTTAGGTCATGGTATATTGGAGGGAGACAATGGACGGCATCGGCCAGGGCAGCCTACGCTCTGGTCGGGGCCTTATCCCCGTAGGGCTGGCCCCAACCCTCACCTGGTCTTTGGACCACTGTTTTGGCCCAGTGTCTACTTTTTTCGGGCCAGGCCGGGCCGCACGGCCTATTGCCAGCCCTATATAATTAAATTCATGAGAGACAGCAGCAGGAGAAAGGGAGAGGAATAATACCTCAGGTTTTTCCATGCAGACCTCCATTTCCATATCAATGTTATAGAACATGGGATTCACGGAAGCAAGCTTCATTGAGAGGAACTGCACAGAAAACAACACCGTGAGGATCATAAACCGAAAAGAATAAATAATCAGATAGCATTAGTGATAGTGTTTAGTAATGCTAACTACCTCCACTTGTTTTTGCAACGACTGGACGTAGTTGATTATTTCATCCAGCATAAGTGCCTTACCCGTCACCTGCTTCAAGAGAAAAATTAAGCCATAAGATTAATGTAAAACGATGATTTTCATAGCAATAAAAAAGAGTTAATCAAGCTTACCTTGTCACAACCAGGAACAAGGCCCTGCAAAAGCTTCATTCTCTCACTAATCTTCTCTCTCCTAACCTGCATCCACAGTGGCAGCAAAATTGATCGGAGATGCACTCTTTTAGTAAATATTCAAGAGAGAGAGAGAGAGAGAGAGAGAGATATTAATTACCCTTTCTGCAAGGCTATGGCTATCAGTTGCCTGGCCCCTTCTAGCCCTAACATGGATATAACTCTTCGTTGGATCGTCTCCGCCTTCTTTTGAGCTCTTATCATTACTCTGCTCAGATCTTGGCTTCCTTTCTTCTCTGTTACTCTTTGATCTCTTTCCTTTACCTCCAATATTTTCCTAAACAAGAAAACACAGAAACATCAATATTTCACAAAGAGTGAGAAAAGCTCAAAAATAGATTTTCATTTCAAAAGATTAATTATAAAAGAAGCCATTTGTGATTGTCCATTTGTGATTGTCAAAGAGTGAACCCCAACTAGAAAAGCAGCCAAAATCACCATCTTTTTACCTTGCTATGGCTAGAATTCACAGAGTAGCCATTGCTTTTTCTCCTCTTTTTCTCAATGCTATTTTGATCAGAGCTGGTCTCTTGCATGACCTTGTCCGATTCTGCATCGGTACGGCTTTCACATTCAGCAATGGCTCCTATCTTCATCTGTGTCTCCACATTTTCTCCAACCTCCCCAGTAAAATGGCTCTCGAAACCTCCATTAAATTGGTTACAATCACCACTGTTAAATCCCCATTTCTTTAGCTCATCACTGGAAGGGAACACTTGCAAATTGTTAAAGTTTTGAACCCCATTAGAGAAACAGGCATTCATCTCAATTCCTGAGAATTTGCCATTCCAGTTGGATATGAAAGCCAAGTCCATTAAAGGCTGGTGTGAGAAAGCAGACATTGTGGCTTATGACAGGAATTAAAAGCCAAAAAAGCAGAGACACAGATAGATAGCTAGAGAGAGAGAAGAAGCAACAGGAAATGCAGAGAGAGAATATGTGAGAGGGTTCAAAATGCAGAGCAAGGAAAGAATTGCAGAGAGAGAGAGAGATATTTTGATTGTTAGGGTGGAAAGGTGGGGATTGGAGAAGAAAGCAGGGTGATATGTATGAAGAATTAAAGGCAGGGGATGGTGAAGAGAGAGAAAGAGAGATTGTTCTTGGGTTTTTATGATTTTGGTTTGAGAGAGAAGGTAGGGATCAGAGACAAAGAAAGCAGGTATATATAAAGATCAGGGGGAGTGACGAGGGGGGGGGGGACGTCTGAAAAAGATGGGAAAAATACAAATCTCTCTCTCTCTCTCTCTTCTCTTTCTCTCTTCTCTCTCTGCAACAGGTTCTTGAAGCAGCGTCTTCCATGTTTTTTGTGTACATTTGACTGGTCTTTTCAGTGGTGTGTTTCTCTGCCATGTCATGCTCGAACTTCGAGACATATAAAAATGGTTTCTGGGAGGTGGATCATTTAATGGGCCCAACTTTTATTTCGCCTAAGGTTTTTTTTTCTTTTGCTAAGTAAATGTCTCCATAAACTCAAGAAATAACATATGCGCCCTTCACTCCATTTTTCGGTGTGGAAAGTACCTAAATGTGGCTAAGTCGTCCAATGCCTCGTGCGTTTTAAAACTCACGTCGGCAAGGTAGGGATTCAAGGGGACTTAAAAAATTGTTAGACAAGCTTAATGTATATATTTGTATAATAAAGTACTTAGAATTTTACTATGTAATTATTTTTATCTTGTAGTGAAATTATCAACAATATCCTCTACAATAATAAAACTGCCCTTATTCATTTGAAAAATATTGAATAATTAAAAAGACAACTATATTAATTTTAGTAGCTCATAACCATTTCTAAATATAATCTATGGGATTCTATAGGGTGTTATTGTTAGAAAACCCATATATATACACGAGGAGTGTTAGGGGGGGGAACCAGGGCGAGACCTATTCTATCTTAAAATATATTTCAGTTTCAAGATCTATACCATTTTAAAACATGGTTCAATCTCAACCGATTCTCATCAAAATTGACAATTTGAATAAAAAATCATTGGGTTTTACCGCATTGCATTTACTACTTATATTTGCTCACCCTTAACTCGGTGGCAATGCAAGGTTTCCAATTTCATGACGTGGGAACTTCAAAGTTTCATTTTATTGGAGAGACTAAAGAAAATCCATTTTGTTTTGGTATCCGTAAGCAAAATCCATTTTGTACGGTCTCGTTGGATCAAGCATGGAAGTGGACATGATCCGATCAAAACCAAGGTTAAAAAAAAGAAAGATTGGTGACCTGGATTATGTACTCGAAAAAGTGGTTTGGATAAGCAGATAAGCGATCTAAATCGGCAATCCATCCAGGTGAACTGGCCAAATAAAAAATAAAAACATTTGAGAAAAATAAAAAAATAAAAGGTGATAGCCGTTTTGGCTGGTTATCAGATAGAATTAATGGTTGGTTTTGTCAGAGAACTAACTAGTTCCCACTATTTTATAAGAACTCTGATCTTGAACCAGTTAGTTTGATATTTTGCAATAATCAAATTGGCCCCACTAGTTCCGATCTGTATTGTTCATATTTTAAAACAATCAATTGGATTAGTTTTAAAAATATGAAATATATTATTATATTTATTTAATAATAAAATATAAAGACCTAACCAATCAACTATTAATTTTTAATAATTTTTAATTAAATTTATTTTTTATTTTGAACCAACCAAAACACCTGTCATTGATCCTATCATATTCAGGTCCAATGTCTCCGTCTACACTTGGGAGACTTCACGTCATAAATCTCGGCATGGATTGCATGAGCAACTTTGGTCAAAATCGTAGAAGGTATGCTTAGGGTTTAAGGATGTGATGCGGCTGTCAAAAGGCGGTTACCGATTGGTGACATCAAGGGTAAAATGGTCAAAAGGAGATCATGGGAAGGTACAACCCAAGGCTAACACCGTCAAATGGTGGGTTAAAAATTTAATATGAAATGCAAGAAACCCTAACCCTAATTTTAGGGGGGTTTTGTACCAACCAGCTAAGAGGAAGCACCCCCTAAATTTCCGGCGAACAAACCCTGATTTCCGCTTGGATATTTCCAAAATACCCTTACGTCTTTTAAATGAATTACGGGAATTATCCTAACTCGAGTACGACGCGGTTAGCATTTCAAGCCTGTACATGTAGAAATGCGGGCCCATTAACAAATCTATTTTTGAGATGGATTTTTTTATTTTTGAGATGGATTTTTGGACTTAATTTTTAAAGATATGTAGTCTTTAATATGGAGATAATAAATATGAAAAATAAATAAATTTAAAAAATTAAAAATAATAATTTTATTAAACAAATATTTAGATTTTTAGTTTCAATTGTTTTTAGATGAACCACGTACTTGTATCCATCTTTAAGATGGATGCTTTATACTTCTAGACATCATATTTAGAAATAGGGAACATCTTGCATGAAAATGGATGCTTTATACTTCTAGACATTATATTTAGAAATAGGGAACATCTTGCATGAAATAATTTTCCTCTCGGAGAATATGGAATTGGGTATTTACCTTTTTTTTTTTGAAAAAATTACAAATAATTCTCAAGAATAGATTTCCTATACAACTTATCCCTAACAAATTTTTTGTTCTCACTTTTTACCCCAAATTTAACTTTCATAGCAAATACCCTTCAAGTAATAAAAGCGGTAAAATGAAGACCAAAATACCCTGAAAAGCATACGGTCTGGCACAAAATGAGGGACAGTTTGGCACAAAATGAGGTCTGGCATAAAATAGGGGCAGTCTGGCACTTTGGACATGCAGTCTGGTATAAAATGGGGGCGGTCCGACACTTGGCTTCTAGAAGCATACAGTCCGGCACTTTGGGAATGTGATTTGGCACAAAATGAGGGTGGTCCGGTACTTTGGGCATGCGGTCTAGCATAAAATGAGGGCGGTCCGGTACTATGGGCATTTTCTTTAAAAAAATATGATTTTTTTTTTATTTAGGGGTATTTACTAAAAAAATTTAATTTGAGGTAAAAATTGTTTAAAAAAACTTTACTGCGGGTAGGTTGTCTTGAAAGTCGATAGGTTTTTTTTTTGTTCTTAATTTACCTCCTTTATTTGTTTATTATGAACATTGATGAATAGGGTATTTTCGATATATTCAAAAAATTGTGGATCAATATATAGACTTAAATTATGTTTAAGGGCCGTAATTGACCGAAATCATAGCCGAAATTTCGAATGTTCAGTGTTGCTTAGTTTTCGATTAACTGTGGCTTTAATTGTCAAATAATATTTAATTGGACAAAGTGCAGATACCGTTAATAAGCATGGTTTTTATATTAATTTGGGTTTTAGATTAATTTATTAATAATTTACCAGAAATAGCCAAAAAGCAGGACGCCAGGACCCAGTATTTTTTACTAGCTCAAAATGCTCCATTTTAAACATAAACGGCCAAAAAGAAAGCAGCCATGTTTCATTATTTTATTAATTTTTTACTATAAATGGAACGAAAAACCACACCACATTATTTGATCCATCCTTTTCCCAGAGTAAATAGCCCAAAGAGCAGGTCCGTTACGTTATTTTATCAATAAATTCTTACTATTAATGGCAAGCATAGCCTATAATTAATACTTTTTCTTTTTGACAAATAATTTATACTTTTTTCTAGTGAAGCTGTTAGCAATAAATAGAGCCAAAACTGCAGGTCTAGTCAGATATTTTTACCGTGACCAGAAAAAAGAGAGAAAAAATAAAATAAAATAATACAAAGCATTTACAACCCAAATCGAACAATAGTAACATGCAATGAAAATGATGAAAGAGGTTAACAAAAATGCAATTTGATATCTATTTTATACAATAAATACTTTCATCATTTGTCAAAAAAAACTATTTATATGAAAGACAATGGTCAAGTGAAGCTTCACTTCAAAATTCATCGAAGCCATCTCGGTATTAACTATTATATCTGTGAAAAAAATTAACACATTATGTAGACCATCCATTTCGCCCTAAAAATGAGTACTACAATGCGCAAGAACGGTATTATTTTTTGAGCTTCAAATTTCATAATCAGTATTAGAAATTTCATTATGAAAGTTTCTTATCTAAAATATTTTTTGGATGAGGAATCAAGGTGAGGCTTTATTTTATTTTCCTAAAGCCCAAGCCTTATAGAAACTGCATATGCACTTTGTTTTATATGCAAATATGCATGCACTTGCTCAATAGGAAACAATTGGGTTTGATTTATTAAAAAATATTCTCATTTTTTAAGAGTTTCTTAGGTTTGGATTGCACCCCAACTGATGGCCAATATGACTTCCCACTTGATTTTCCAGTTCCCTTGTCTACCTTAACCAGACTTTTTGTCTACCCTTACACATACAAATCTAATCTAAATGAGAATTTTATCACCCCATTTTTTTTTTTGTCCTTTTTCTGTTCCCCCTAAATATCGATATAAGTTTTTTTGAATTGGGATTACATGTCGGCTGAAATATTATCTCAATAAACAAATAATACAAATAAGAACTTCCATTACTGGTAAATGTAAATTGCTAGGAATGAATTAGGTCAAAGCACTTTAATTGTTTTGAGTTATAAATTAGTCTTGTCGTCGAAGTAATTGATGAGCAAGGGTAGCTTTCATGGTCTGCAATTGCAATTATGTAAAGCCAAAAGACCCTTGGCTTTAACCCAGCCAAGAGTTTCAGCCAAGAGTATAGTTGTGAACATATTTACCAAGACCGGACTGGACTGTCCGTAGGGATGGGTAACGGGTCGAGTCGACCCCAAGCCGACGGGTCGACCTAATTTGGTTACAGGTCTGGGTCTTATTTTTGGACCTGGCAGGTTGGGTCCAAGTCCAGCCGACATTAGGTCATGTTAGGCCCGGTTCTATGTTGCCTCGACCCGACCTGAATATTTTAGATACAGTATTTGTTTTATGATAATAATATTGTATATTATATAATTTACTAGTATTTCATTATATTTTTTTTATATATTACGTGACATAAGTTTCCATATATGTACCAATATATAATATCTTATAGCTAGAAGGTCAAAGGGATTTTTAAGGAGACCCAAAATTTTCATCCCTATTAGCTTCCTGGGATCACCAAAATCCCTTGTACCCTTTCAAGTTTAAACCTTCAGAACCATTAGCTCCCTAATTATGTTTTTCTTTGTTCTTTTACAAATTTGATCACAAAATGGCATTCTCAATTGGTCATTCATTTTTGTTTTGTTTTGTTTTTGTTTTTTGTGACTTGATATACAAATTATATTGATCATGATGATGATGAAAATAATAATAACAATCATAATTAATAATAATTAAAATACAAATAATTATAATAACAACAATATA